TGTCCCTAGGCTTCTTTTGCTCAAGGCTAGCACTCTACCACGTGAGCCATAGTGCCATAGTGCCTTTTCTGTTTATGTGGTACTAGGAATTGTTAAGCAAGCACTCTACTACTATGCCACATTCCCAACCCTAGGCCTGTGCTTTTAAATAAGGGCTTGGCACAGCATTATACAGGCAAAATGTAAATAATGAATGTCTGACAGTTTTTCCCAATAACACATAAGGAATCTAAAAGAACACATAGAATTCTTATTCATTTGATGTCACTCCTTGATAAAATTTAAAGGCAAAATGTAAACTTTTAAATCTTTTTCAGTTTTAAAAAAGTATCTTTCCAGAGAGAAAGAGATTCTTTGTGAATTTTAATTAATGCACTTAAAAAATCTAAAATGAAGTACTTTGATACATCTTTTTGTTTTCTTCCTCTCTCTCTTTTATATTTTATATTTTTATTTTTGTTGGTTGAGGGGCTTAGACTCAGGGCCTGGGCACTGTCCCTGAGCCTCTGTGCTCACAGCTAGTGCTCTACCACTTGAGCCACAGTGTCACTTCTAATTTTTGTGTGGTTAATTGGAGATAAGAGTCTAACAAGGACTTTTCTGCCCCAGTTGGCTTCGAACTGCAATCCTCAGATCTCAGCCTCCTGAGTAGCTAGGATTTCAGAAGTGTGCTACTGGCTTATATTGGCTTTAAAAAATAATTTCAAAAGGAAGAAAACATCTGGGCACTGGTGGCTCATGCCTGTAATCCTAGCTACTCAGGAGAACTGAGATTGCTGTTCAAAGCCAGCCTGAGTGGGGAAAGTCTGTGAGATTCTTATCTCTAGTTATTCAGCAAAAAGCCAGAAGTGGAGCTGTGGTTCAAGTGGTAGAGCGCTAGCCTTATGCAAAAAAGCTAAGGGAGAGCACCCAGGCTTGTATTCAAGCCCCAGGAACTGCTTCCCATGCCCTCCCCCCACTCACCTCCCCCGCCACCCCATCCCTGAGCCAAAACAACCCAGTGACAAATTCATTTATATAAAAATATTTTCTGTAACAGGAGAAATACTTGCTGTAGCTTCGTGAATGAAGTCTGTGGCCTAGCCTTTCATTTTAAGATAGCTTCTCTAAGAGATTTATTTCAAATGTTATTACTATGTAACTTACAGAATGAAACAACATGGCTAATAACTGGATATTTTAGCTGCAGGATCTAAAATTTACTCTGTCGAATCTTCCAGCCCTGGGGGCACTAGCTGGCTGCTCATTTATTTTCACCATATTTAAATCAATCGTGGGAAACAATAAATCGTGTGTCCATCTCAAGTTGGCATCTCAAACGGCAGAGACTTACACAAAGATTTCACAGCACTCAATTCTTCTTTGTTCTTATCTCATGCAGAGAATACAACTAGTGCTTAGTTGTAAAATGACATTTTTTTTTCCTGCTTTCTCATTAAATCCTCTGTCTTAGCATCGAGTCCTTAAGCCCAATGTTTTCAGCTTCTGGAAAATTCCTACTTAACTTGCTTGAAGGGAATTCTTTTGTCTGGGCATCGGAACAAGATAACCGACTTAATCTTTCTCGTAACACGTGAGTCGCCATGTATCATTTTAATCTGCAAACCACAAGGGTTGAGCACTGGCACATGCTGATTTTACTTTTCTATGAGAAAGTGACTCCCTGGCTCAATGATGGATTGCTTGTTCTCTTGAAACAACAGTCAAGATGGTGAATGCCCCGGGGTGATAGACAGAGTGTGCAATGAGAACTAGGCGAAGCTGATGGCCCGGTTCAAGTTCACCTGACAAAGCTTGGAGCAGTCTGCAAGCAGCATTTGAGACAGGATTATTCACACTTGCATTATATATCTGAATGCATTTTCTCCTCGTGCAGCTGCAGACTCGCTCACACCGAAGCTTTAGGCACCATAATAAAGAGATTTATTTTTTTTTCTCCCTCTCACTCTCTTTTGCTTCTTACATTTTACACCTAGTTTCTAAGGGAATCTGTTCAGGCACAGGACATCTGTATATCCCAAACTGTAGAACGCATATCACCTTCAAAACAATGTGGTACTCAAAGAAAATAACAGCCTGATGTTTTTTATCTTTGAAGGGATAAAGATTAAATCTCATGCAGAGGAACAAAATTCCTGAAACTCAGCTCTTAAAAGATTGTCATTTCACAGGGTCATGCACGCCAGAAAGAAAATAACAGGATTTTTAAAAAAGCACTTCAAATTAGAAAAATTAGGATCATTGAATTTTCTGAAGAATTCCTTGAAAATTTTCCCATATCCATTTGGTGATGAGAAACACCTATTAAGACATGGAGGGATGAAGTTAAAGTTGGAATACAGAACAAGTTTATAAGAGAGAGAAAAATCGTAGTTTTTCTTTCCTTCTATCTATATATCTGTAGATCTCCACTACCTGGTTGTGGAATGATTTTCTGAATCTCAGAGAGCTCAGACATTCTTTTTTTTTTTTTTTTTTACTGCCTCTCATCTTCTGCAGTAAGTTAGGAAGTGAATTAGCTTTAATAGAGTATCTAAAAAGCATAACATCATGCACAGCATGATTGTTGACATCTTCCTCATTAATAATTTATTCACTATTTATTTATTTACTTACTTATTTATGGAAGTACTGGGGTTTGTACCACTGAGCTATAACTCTCAGCCCTAATTCTGCACTGATTGTTTTAGTGTAGCTTGATGCCACTCACACCTCCAGACCGGGAAGTCCTGTGCTGTCCTCTCCCCTCCCCCCTCCCTCCCCTCCCCTCCTTTCCCCTCCCTTCCCTTCCTTTTCTTTTTCCTCTTCCTTTCCCTTCCTTCCTTTCCCCCTTCCCTTATTTTTCTTTTGCCTTATTCCTTATTTCTTTCCCTTTCTCTTCCCTTCCCTTTTTTTTTTTGTGCTGATACCAGGGCTTGAACTCAAGGCCTTAAGCTCTTGCTCAGCTGACCCTTACCACTTGAGCCACACCTCCAGTTTTGGCTTTTTGATGGTTAATTAGAAGATAAGAGTCTCTCAAATTTGTCTATCTATAATGACTCTGAACCAGGATCTTCAGATCTTAGCTTCCTGTATTGCTAGGATTATAGGTATGAGCCAGAATGCTCATAGCAGAATGTCTAGAATGGCTTAAAACATTGATCCTCCTGACCCTAGCCTCCCCTGTGGCTGGGGTGACAAGCACGGGACCATACTCAGCTACTGGTTGAGAGAGGATCTTATATGTATGCCTGAGTTGTCCTTAAACCAAGATTCCCCTACTCTTTCTAAGTAGCTGGGACTACAGGCTGAGTCACTGGTGCCCAGCACATCCATCTATTTAAACAAAAATGGACTAAGCATCAACCATTAAGCAGTCAGACTAGGATATGAAAAGACACAGGCCCCAGAGCAGGATCCTGAGGCAGGAAACAATCTTGAACTGGCTCCCCGGTGATCCCCACTTGCTGGCATTCAGGCCCCTTTAGTCTCCCCCAAGGTTGACTGGTATGAACAACAATGTGAAGTGAGAGCATACTACTTCAGTGATGAGGCTACGAAAGACTTTGGACTTTTCATTCTGGCAAAAGTCAGCTGTCTATGTACATATGACCATATAAGATGATGTTAAGTGAGATGAACCCCAAGACAGGGACACAAGTGGTTTTTTATTTCATGCTATTGTTTTTAACATACTTATAATGTACTATGTGGGTTTTTTTTTGTTTCTTTTGTATGTTCTCCCCCCATGGTATAACCCCTGTTTTCACTGTATTTGATTCCAGTACCCTGCATCTTGTATATACATTTTCCTAATTTGGTGAGGGGAAGGGAAAAAACAAAATGCTTAAATAGGGATACAGGTTGCCCCATTGTAACAATGAGATGTGCAAGACACTATGCTGAAAACCAACTTTACAACTTGGGAGGGGGGGCTGTGGGAGGGAGGAGCTGGGGAGGTGGAGAGGGAAGGGATGGTAGGGGAAAACAAAGGAGGAGGTAACAATGCTCGATAGGAAATGTACTCATTACCTGACTCATGTAACTGTAACCCCTCTGTACACTATTTTTACAATTTAAAAAATATATTTTTTAAAAAGTCAGCTGTCATGTCCTATGGACAGGCCATGTGATGAGACACGGAGGCTTCTCACCCCCAGTCAGCAAGAGGGAGGGAGGAGGGAGAGAGAGAGAGAGAGAGAGAGAGAGAGAGAGAGAGAGATTAAGAATGAGAGAGAGAGAGTGATCACAAGAGCAGTCCTGGCTGAGCCTTGAGATGATCAAAGCTCCTAATATCATTTTATCAAAGATTCGGTATCAGAGCCATACAGCTAGGTCAACTCTCAATTTCTTTCTTTTTTCCCTTTCCCTCCCTCCCTCCTTTCCTTCCTTCCTTCTTTCCTTCCTTCCTTCCTTCTTTCCCTCCCCCTATCTTTTCTCCGTGCCAATAATACAGGGGCTTGAACTCAGGGGGCCTGGGATCTGTCTCTTAACTTTTTCACTCAAGGCTAGTGTTCTATCACTTGAGCCACAGCTTCATTTCCTGCTTTTTGCTCATTCATTGGACATGAGCGTCTCATGGACTTTCCTGTCCTAGAATGGCTTCAAGCTCCTGAGTGGTCAAGATTACAGGCCTGAGCTCCTGGCACATAGCTTTGCCCTTCTTTTCCCTTTCTGCTCTGCTCTGCTCAAGATTCTAAACTTGAGAAATAATTTTTCACACAGTAATAAATAAATAAGACAAAAGGTAATTGCAATAAATTACTGTTGATAATATGATGCCCATTAAAAATGCCTGAAGTGGAGCTATGGTTCAAACGGTAGAGCTCTAGACTTGAATGAAAAAGATAAGGGACAGCACTCAGGCACCTGTGAGTTCAAGACTCAGTACTGGCACACACACACACACACACACACACACACACACACACACATCCTAAACCCAGATATAAAGCACCAATGGTACGATAGTATAAAATTTGACAGATTATGACCAAAGCTCTCAAACCTCAATGGCATGAACAATAAAAAGTTTATTTCTCAGCAGAGCTTTGTATTGGTCGTGGTCAGATGAGGCTCCTCTCTGTTCTTCTCCAAGTTGTCTTCACTGTAAATGGAGGTTTACCATGGCTGCCTCCTGACACACTCTCCTTAACGGTGGCAGCAGGAAAGAGACTCTGTGTCATGTTCTGGAAGTTCAATGAGGCCTGACATTGACACTCATCAGTTGCTCTCAGAAACCACTGGCCACGGAAATGGAACTGTGGCTCAAGTGGTAAAGTGCCAGCCTTGAACAAAAATGTGAATGAAAGCTCAAGACTCTAAATTTAAGCCACAGTTCTCACCACCACCTACCACCCTCAGCCAAATCATGGGCCAGAATGAGCCCCTGGCCTGTCCCTGCCTCAAAAGACCAGGTGATGCCATGTCCCATGTGCCTGGAAGGAGAGAGAGCCTGATGCTGGTGAGCACCAAAGACTATCACATGACCCATGCAGTCTATGGCTTGCTGTGTTTTTCTATTGCAGGCCTCGTCAGAGAAAGGCGATGGCATATTTCATTACATTTTTCATGCTGGTTCTTAAAGAAGTAAAAAATTCCCTTCTTTCCAAAATTGGTCGTGACATCTTTCTGATCAACAGAGTGAATCTGGGGATCTGTGAGGTAAATGAGGCCTTTGCCATTACCAGTCACCCAGCCTGAAAGAGAAAAGAATATATTTGTCTATAAATGGTAGCCACACATTTTAGAGGCAAAGAAAGAAAAATGCACACACATGCTTAAAGAGAGTCTCTAAAATTTGGGTTTATACCGTGGTTTAAGTTTAGTACATTCCTCTTAGGAGTTTTGGGTTGCCTTTAAAATTTTAAGCTTAAGAAGGAGAATTGATTTTGCCACATTTATTTGTCATTTATGATCATCTCAAGGAATTAGTAGCAATAAAATGCACTTAGAATAATGATTAATATCACAATATTGAGTTGGGCACTGGTGGCTCACGCCTATACTTATAACTACTCAGGAAGCTGAGATCTGAGGATTGGGATTCAAAGCCATCCCAGGCGGGAAAGTCTTTGAGACTCTTATCTCTGATTAACCACCAGAAAACCTGAAGTGGAGCTGTGGCTCAAAGTGGTAGAGTGCTAGCCTTGAGCAAAAGAGCTCAGAGACAGTACCCAGACCATGAGTTCAAGCCCCATGACTGACCAAAAAAAAAATCACAATAGAATACTTATATCACAGTTTGGAAGTTCTTTAGTGCTTTATCTGTCCTTAATTTATATATTCATCCATTCATTAGTGGGTATTCATGAAGTGTAGACACTGTACCAACAGAGTGTTGCTGGTGATGGATATGCAGTAGTAACAAGCTAGTCAAACATCTTTGTACTCACTGAAATAAAGTTCTTGTAAAGTGGAGCAGATTAATAAACTATAATCAACATAATGTGACCGATTATAAATGCTATAGATGGAAACAAAGTGGTCATTATTAGAAATAATTATAATAAATCTCATTTGTCATTTACATAAAGGGAAGAATGTTTGTTAGTAAGAATTCTTATGAGCTAGAGGCCAGTGGCTCACCCCCATAATCCTAGCTACTTAGAAGGCTGAGATCTAAGGATTGTGGATTGAAGCCAACCCTGGGATACAAATCAAGAGACTCTTATCTCCAATGAACCAACAAAAAGATAGAAGCAAAGGTATGGTTCAAGAGGTAGAGCACCAGCCCTGAGTAAAAAAGCTAAGTAATAGTGAGAGGCTCTCAATAGTGAGAAGCAATTCTAAATAGAATTGTAAAAACTCAAATATTAATGTAGATATTTTTTAAAAGTCAGACTTAAGTATACATAGTTTTCTATTTCATAATGATCTCAATTCTGATACTCTGTATCATACTTGAAATAAGAATAAAGGGCTACAGAATAGAAAAAATGGATTTAAAAATACAATAATAGGAAATCTACATTAGTTTTTGTGGAGCCGCTAGAGGACTCCCTTCTTCCCCCCCCC